CATCTTCCATGCGTCTTTTCACTAAGCAACTCAAATCAAAATGAAGTTATTTTATGCTTGATTTACAGTTCGGACTGTCACCTTTCCAACGATATATAATATGTATATATTTCTTTCACGAGCGCCACTCTCAAACGATTCGAACGGCATCCAGCGGAATCGGGCACGAACTTATGCACTCATCCAAATTTCTTTAATTTTTGTTATTACTTTTTTATAATTTTTTTATTTTTATTTTTTTTTTTGTTTATTTTTATTATTATAAAATTTTATTTTTTTATATTTTTAGTATTTGTTTCTTTTAGTTTTTATTGTTTGTTTCTTTTTATTTTTTTATTATTTGTTTCTTTTTATTGTTTGATCATTTGTTTCTTATTATTTTTTTTATTTGTTTCGTTTTATTTTTTATTACTTCTTTTATTATTTTCCCATAATTTTTGTATTAATTTTTTTTACATATTTTTATTATTTATTTTCTTTAATTTTTATTTGTTTATTACTTCTTTGAAGAGTTAGTATATTACAAAGGACTGAATAAAAACGTATTAACGATTTTAAATGGAAAACCCTGTAGGTTACCAGCCTTCGACAGCATTTGAAAAAATAACCCTGGGCCGGACGAACAGCGGCTTCGCTTGCACAGAATTCCTAAGTGAAACACATTTGTAAATGTTAAAGTAATAAAATTACTCTTCAAAGGTGTGGCAACAGAGTTTTTTTTTGGTTCTAAGGCACATATATACTCTCGCTTCAAACAAACACGAGAGCTCGCTTTTATGTTTAAAAATGATGGAAAATATTAATATTATATTTTGACAAAATTAATTAAATAAAAATATTGGGCATTATGACAAGCAGATCCCATTTTTCATTATTATTTTACTATTTTTATGCAATTTTTTATTATAGTTTTATAATTTTTGCTGAATTATTATTTTTTCTTTTTTATTATTATTTTTATATTTTATGTTTTTTTTATTTATTTTGTTTTTATTAATTCCAATATTTTTCACATTTATTTTCTCGTTATTATTGTATTTTTATTTTTTTTTAGCATTGCTTTTAAATCTTTAATTTGAGTTTAGTCAACATCGATCCAAAGAAGAGCTAGATTTTAGGTCCGTATGTCATACTAAAGTTTTTGATTTATCGAAGTGTTAATTGTCCCAGTTCCATGTTTAAATATTTACACTGATTTAATGGGAATGATTATTTACTTTGTTAATATTTTTATTAAATCGAGGGTGTGGAAAGCCAAAATAAGTAAAAACCGGATAGGGAATATCAAAAGAAAAATGTATAAAGAAATCTATGAAAAATCTCCTAAATTGAGACGCTAGTTCGCTTTGAAGGAGCTCATCGTCCTGATGACAACGAAATCATTGTAGTGATTCTTAAAGAGGACAAAATTAAGGGTAGGTTTCGATTGCTTTGACACTCACCTGTTTCCCGTTTACGTTTACTCGATATTTTCTGCTGCAACGGCTGCCTCAATTGTTTCTGCTGCTGCTGCTGCTGCTGTTGGTGATGATATTTGTTGGTTGCTGAAGTGGAGTGATAACGCGTCGGTGTTTGCTTCTTCGTCGAAGTAACAATACTCGTCTCGTTATTTCTGACAAGCTTACTATTGGTGTTGTTGTCGTCTTCGATGAAACAGTTAACGCCGTTGCTTTCTTTCAGCGGCTGCCTTTGGTCCGCAAGCGCCTCTTGATCGCAATTACTATCGTCAATATAAATTACACTCTGCGCCAAAAGACTATTATTGTCGTTGTCGCGGCACTCGGACAAAATCTCACGATTTCGCAAATATTTTTCTTCTTTTCGTAATTGTTGGTTTTGTTGTTGCTCTTCAGTATCAACAAAACTACTCGACGAGCGCTTTATATGTGCGTCGTATGGATAGACAATGGTCGACGTAGCAACGGCGGCAGAACTCTCTTCTTGCCTCTGCTGCGGATTCTCGCGATATCGCTGATTTTGATGCTGACGTGTCTGCTGTCGCGAAGTATGCGGCGATTGATGATGATGGCGGCGTTGATGGTGTGCTCGTTCTGGTTGCTCTTGTTGCGCTTGCTGCTGAGTATCGTCTACTGTGTCCTGTTGCAGCTGTTGCTCGTATTGTAATTGTACGTGACGTTGTTCGCCCTCGTACACGGGGCGACTGGAATAGTCGAAATCGGACGCGTTCACAAACGACGTTTTCATTTGTATTCGCTAACCCGATGCAATGCAAAAATTCTTTGCAAACTTAATGCAATAGAATAAAACCGTCGCGTCGATTCACCGTCGTCGTCGTCGTGGTCGGTCGTTATTGATTTGAAGTGTGTTTGTGTGGTGCCCGACGTTTTGCGGAATTCAATTTGGGCAAATGTTCTCGAGTGAGTTGCACGCTTTCGTCGAACTGCCAAAGGTGCCTAGCTTACTGGTGTTTTTGTTGTTGTTGTTGGTGGTGGTGGTTTCGCGGTGTTGTCCTTACGGCCGTACTATGCGCCCAAGAGCCAAGCTGTCAACTGTGTTTATTTGTACGTCGATTTGTAACTCTGTTGCAGCAACAGTTTTAAGCCTCATTCGATTATTATTTATTTGCCAATGCTGTCGGCAATCTTTGAGTTTTCATATTTTTCTCCGTTTTCCGGCTTAAATATTTTTGTGTTTTCAAAACATTTTCAGCTCAATTTAAGTTTAAATTTTTTTCAGCTGCTTTATCGAAATTTCAGAGTTACTGAAGTTATTTTCTATTTTCTTGTTTTTGTTTAAGTATCATTTTTTTTAGATTAGAATGATGGTTATTTTTAATATTTTGGTAGTCGTGTTTATCTAATTACTTGTGTTGATTGTGTGTGTTTAAGTTATATATATTCATATATTTATATATGTTTTATATAAATTACTACAAATTATTAAATATTATATGTATTTACAGCATTTTTAAGTGTTTTGCATCTTTAACACTGAATTTGAAACCAAAGTAGAAGAACAACTGCAAAGAAACAAAAAGATAATAATTTATGAAATTTTGGTATACTGAATTGTATTTTCCTTAATAATATTATATGTAAAAATTAATTTATATATCTCTTAGTATACAATAATCTTTTTCGGCTGAGAGAAAAAAACGACTGACGAGCTTTTAATGCGCGTAATCGTGTTTTAAAAAATAATAATAAGTAAAAAAAATTACTTAAAATTCATTTGAGTAAATCGTAAACACATTTCGTCTGTAATTAAGCGAATTTACACGAGTTTCAAATTTTTTTTATTGTATTTCAGCAATTCGATTTCCATTATTCCCTTACCCACCCGCCAGACTCAGGATGTTTGAGTAAATGCAAAATAACTTGCAGAGCAATTATTAATCATTGAAACAATTTAATTAAAAAGAAAAAAAAAAATAATAATAATCAGGTTATTAAAAAAAAAAAAAAAACAAATAAGAAAATATAAAAAAGATGTGATACAGCGTAGTTTTTAATTTTCAAGTATGAGCTAAATCTCATTATTTCTAAATCTCATACATTACTACAGAAAAAGGCGAAGGTACGTGTATTTCCTAAGTAATTTTTTTTCTTTTGAATTGAAATTGGAGATAATTGTGAGGCAAGAAGTGAACCTCCTCCGAAAGGCCCGAAATTATTAGTTTTGTATTATGCTTTTATTATTATATTTATTGATATTTTTATCATTGTTTTTACGATATTATTTTTTTTATTGTCATTTTTTATTATTACTTTTATTATTATTTTTATAGTTATTTTTTCTATTATGTTTATTGTTGTTTTTATTGTTATTGTTTATTATTCTCTATTATTATTCTTATTATTCTCATTTATTATTTTTACTGTTTTTACTATATTTTATTTTTTTTTTAATTTTTATAGTTTTTACTATATTTTATTTATTTTTTATTTTTTTTTAATTCTTTTTTTTTAATTTTTATTTTTTTTTAATTTTTTATTTTTTTTTTAATTTTTATTTTTTTTTTTATTTTTATTTTTTTTTTAATTTTTATTTTTTTTTATTTTTTATCTTTTTTTTTAATTTTTATTTATTTTTTTTAATTTTTATTTTTTTTTTTTTGAATTTTTTTTTTAATTTTTATTTTTTTTTATTTCTTTTTTAATTTTTATTTTTTTTTTTATTTCTTTTTTAATTTTTATTTTTTTTTTATTTCTTTTTTAATTTTTATTTTTTTTTTTATTTCTTTTTTAATTTTTATTTTTTTTTTATTTCTTTTTTAATTTTTATTTTTTTTTTTATTTCTTTTTTAATTTTTATTTTTTTTTTATTTCTTTTTTAATTTTTATTTTTTTTTTTATTTCTTTTTTAATTTTTATTTTTTTTTTATTTCTTTTTTAATTTTTATTTTTTTTTTTACTTCTTTTTTAATTTTTATTTTTTTTAATTGTCGTATTTTTTTTATTGCAATTTTTATTATTATATCTATTGTTGCTTTTATTATTATTTTATATTATTATTATGCTTTTTATTATTTTTTTTTTTATTTTTATAATTTTTTTATAATTTTTTTATTATTATTTTTTTATTGTTTTTCATTAGTTTTTAAATTAACTTTTCATTAGTTTTTAAAATAATTTTTCATTATTATTATTGTTATTATTATCATTATTATTATTATTATTTTCGTTATGACTATTATTTCCATTATTATCATATTTTTCATTATAATTTTTAGGCATTCAGTCGGAGCATAATCACACCAAATCAATAAACCCCTCTAGGCTGCTAAGTTTTATAAGGGCACTAGGCCTGGTGGAAAAAATGTCGTGGTGCATACGCTCCTTGCAAATATACATATCTAGTTATTTTTCACTATTATAGTCAGTCATGTGACAGCGCTAAGGACGACGTGATAGCGCTCGGCCATATAAAATCCATTTCAACTCCGGTGCGTGAAACCAGCATTCCCAATAAGCAATAAGACCCGCTCGACACTAACCACCTCTTTGCATGCTCCATACAAACCAACTCAATTAGTTTCCCTTTCCGCTTTTTTCCTCTGGTCCAAGCCCGTCGAAATCATAGAATTGATTTAGACTAGTCTCATCTGCTGTCTGTGAAAGAATCTTTCCACTTTACTTCTTCACACATTTTCTCGTTTGTTTGCTCCCAAAAACAACCACAGTTCAAGTCACAACTTTCTACGTCGTCTGCCTTTCCACTTGATCTTCTTACTTAAGTTACAGCGTCTGATTGCAGCAGAATTTTTTGTTATTTATTTCGTGTTTTTGGACCAAACGAAAATATGAAAAGAAACTTCGAAAGGAAAACATAAATAAAAACAACAACGAAAAACACTTTAAACCACTCTGCGAGTACTTCTTACGCTATACTAAAAACACGATGTTGGTATATACATATGTATGTAGGTAGCTAGAAGGCAATACAGTTTGGGGAAAACTTCAATACAAAAGCTGCAGGCGAAAACAAAAAAGTAGTAAATGTGACGTGCGAATTAAGAAATGAGAAAAGTAAGAAAGTAAAGCAAAGCACAGCACAGCACAGCACAGCGAGGCCAACAAATGTGGCCAAAGAGAAAAGATTTCACAAAAGCCGGTTTGTTTGGCTCAGCCGAGCTGCTGCTGTTTCTTGGCTTGCCCAGTTCGACTGCGGCTGTTGGTAGAAAGGTGGGTAGGCGAATGTATATATGTAGTATGTGCATATATGTCTACATCTGTATGTATACATACACACATATGTACATAAGTATGTAGGTTGGTGGTCTGAATTGCCGGCTGACTGGCTGGTAGGTTGAGTGTGTTGTTGCTTAGCTGCTGCTGTCTGTGCAAGGGGTTGGCTGACTGGTTTGCAGCTGCCGCTGAGAGAGCCCAATAAGCGACGTATGCTTTTATGTTAAGCGACCGAACTTTTGTTATTATTATTATTATTCTTATTATTGTACATACATATATACGCTGCTGCCGTCACTTTGCGTTAATGTTAGAGCAGGTGCGCGGTGTAAGCAGTCACTGCGGCTGTAAAGTTAACTGAGCGTGGATATGTATATCTATATCGGCAGGCATATGTATATATGTATGTATGTATTTATGACAAAATTACATATGTATGTATAAATTTGTGGAGCAGAAACCAGAAACTACGCAGCACAATCGGCACGCTTCTCACTGTCTGTATTTATGGCCATACGGCACTCTATGTATAGACGCACATATATACATACATAAATATTATATATTTGAATGTGACCAAAGATGACGTTGATAATAGTGTGACCACGGTTGTGTGGGCCTTTTGGGCGAGTCAACCTGCCTATATGTGCCTTTACCTCTACCTCTACCTCTGCCGTTGTCTCGCCCTGTCTATTCGCCTGCTCACCCGGCCGCTACGTTTCTCATATGGCTGCGACTTTAAATTGCTGTATTAGGTGTTGTTTGCATTTATTTTTATCTTCCTTATTTTCTTCTTCGTCGTCGTCGTCGTCGTCGTCGTCGCCACATTAACACAAATTTTCGCTGCTTGTCACCGAAGCCACTAGCGTCGATGTAGCTAGAGCACCGTTTTGTGTGAAAGGAAAAAAGACTCACTTGACGGTATAGAGTCGGCAGAGAAAAAACACAATTTAATTTTGAAATTTTCCACTTATTCGCATCAACTTTATGTATACGAGTGTAATTTTTGTTGCCTTTTTATTTATTTATTTTTGGTTTTAGTTCATTCAAAACAGTTTTTTCAATTAAAAAATAAATTAACTTTATTTGTTTTGACACGTACACACGCACTAAACGTAATATACAGAGATACAATATATACACATACACACACACCTTTTGACACTGTTGTCTCCAACGAACAAAGGCCACGACGAGCTGCTGGTGTTAATGAAAGGTGCGGCAGCTGGTACATTGGCATCACATCACTTTTGGCCAAATGCAGTGCCACCAAACCAAATAGCTGCACTTAATTGTTTCACCGCTCGGTTATTAGTTGGCAGCTGCTAGCGCACTAACTGGATTTCTGAGCGGATTGGACTATGAACTGGCTACCTAGCAGCCTGACTGGCTGGTTGGTTGGTTGGTTGGTTGGTTGGTTGGTTGGCTTGACTTTCTACAAGCACCGATCGGGCCACTTTTCAACCGCGAACTACTACTAGCGTGTCCACACTCGCCGATGTTGATTCACTCTGAATCTCATGGCGCAAACCAGCGAGCAGCAACCACGACTACGCTGAAAATCAGCTCAGCGATTTAACAAGCTGCACTGAGCAAAGCAGTGAGCCACCCAGTAGGCGATACATGACGATGAACCTACAAAAACAGGAAAAAGGATGTTGTGTATGAACGAACAAACGAACGAACGAACGAAGGAGCGACTAACAACAAAACAAAAAATTTTCTTACAAAATTTCCCTCGAAATTTCATTTCGCCCAATTGGCCATCAAAGGTGGTGACAAAATCCCCTCTCTCCACCCTCTGGCTCACATGCAAACAAACAATCGGCCTAAGTTGAGCCAATATAACGCCTTTTCTCTATGGCTATGTTAGTCTCTCTCGGCTCCAACGTGCTTGTGCTCATTTAACGGTGTTGGTACTCACAGCGCATGCACATTACGAAGCAGCTTTCTGGCGGGTTCTTGTTGATAGTCACATTATTGCAGATATGGTGACCACCCCGTACGAGTGGGCTGCTGCTGCTGCTGCTGCTGCTGGGTGCTTCCATGTTTATAGATATACACACATATGTATGTATGTGTGAATGTAGCACGTTTGTTGGCATAACATGTACCGTCATTGCTTCTGCTGAGCTTTCTTTTTACTCTACTTTCAGCAGAAATCTCCTTATACCCACAACCAACCAGGACAGATTGGAAAACCTAAAAAAATGCGTAGGCGGCTTTGTGTGTGCGGTTGAGCGGTCCGTGTGTTAAGGTAATCAAAATATTTCGCATGTCGCCTGTCGAGGCCAAAACAGAGGCAGGAAAAACCATGAAAGGAAACTCAGTA